CTTCTCCTCTTGCTCATCACTCTCCTCTTGATCAAAGGTGTCATGAGTTATGATCTCTCCCAACACTTATGTGGGAGTGAAGTCCATTAGTCCCTCTCTCGATATCACGGTGACAATGATCTTGAACTTTGAGGGGAGGCACTGTAAGAACTTATGTGAGAAATCCTCATCATCTATACCTTGTGCCCATGTGCCCTCAACTCATTGGCTATGTTATTAAGGCGGTGGAACATCTCTAGCACATTTTCACCTTCAAGCATCTTGAATTTGGCATGTTTGTCCTTAAAGAGGTACAACTTGGCATCCTTTATGGTGGAGGTACCCTCATATGCTTCCTCTACCCTCTTCCAAACCTTGTGCCATCTCCAAGTCTTTGATAGACTTGAAGACCTTGGGATCAAGGATATATGCAATTGAGTGCTTGATCATTCAGTTGGAGCTTTTGTTCCTCACTTGGGGTTGGAGCCTTCAAGTCAAGCACTACAAAAGTTCTCCTCAACAACTCCCCAAATCTTCCTCTCCATAGCCTTTAGATGTGTGCATATCCTTCTCTCCAATACTCATAATTTGTGCCATCAAAGTGCGGGGGTTTGCCAACATTGTTGCTAGCCATAGTTTACTCCAAAGATTGTGAAATCTTGATTTAGTTGGAGGCTTGGCTTTGATATCACTTGTAAGGATCTATTGTGGCTAGAGGGGGTAAATAGCCTAATTAAAATTTCATGCAAAGGCACAACACTAGGCAAAACGGCGAGCAAGAAGATAGCCCTAATAAGCACTACATCCAACTTAAGATTTTGCAAGCCTAGGGTGAACAAGAGCTACTCAACACAAGATTCAGCTTTTTTTGAGCACCCGAGTCGGTTTCAGCTGGATCATACAACACAAGAAGGATTCATAGGTAGAACACAAGACGATATAGACACAAAGTGTTCCTTCTATTCCTAGTAATGTAGATGGGCCGGTTTGGGCCAACCGCCAACCTTTACATTTTCTGTGAACACCTGGACCTTCACACTCTACTTGCAGCCACGCAGCCACCAGGCCCAGACCCTTCCTGGTCCAAAAGACACGCGGCCATCTGAACCTCCAGTCAATCAAGTCAACAACAACGCAACACAGACATCCACTCGCGCCACGTCCACGAGTGACGTTCAGAGAAGCAACACAAAACCGTCGCGCAACCACAAGCAGCAGGCGAACGAAGAACCCGTCGATCCAATTCCATCAGTTGGGGAACCTGCAGTCGCGGCGTATCTCGCCGTCGGCCGCCGTGCGGACCCCGACCCTGCCGAGCCTGGTCATTGCGGCGGCGAAGTCGCCGAAGAAGGCGCCCTGGTCCGCGGCGTAGCGCTCGACGGCGCCGCGGGACCTCGGGTCGGCGTACAGCACTTGGTCGGAGGCCAGGACTCCCATCCCGCCGCGCAGGTTCCGGTAGTACTCGTTGTCGAACTGCAGCGGCGTCGTGGCGTCCAGGAACGCGAACCCGGCCGGCCCTCCCGCCGGGCAGCGGCCCAGGAGATGCTGCGCGAGCTCCGGGTCCATAGCCGGGTCCGCGCCCACCCGGTACGCGAAGAAGCCGCACGACGCCGCGCCGATCGTGTGACCCCCTGCTTGCAGAGTTGCAGTACGTAGTGCCACGCAAGAAAGGCCGTTAGCGACGGGCATGACTGCACTGCAGGTGTTCGTTCGCAGGAGTAGGAGTAAACTAAACATGGAATGCATGCATGCTCTTGGCGTGTTCCACTAGCTAGCTGATGTAGCTGACACATTTATATATGCATGCACACGTGCGCGTGGATATGTACCTGAGAGCGCGATCATGTCGGTCTGGTTGAGGCCGAGGCTGGAGAAGAAGCCGTTGAGCTGGTCGAGGTCGAACGTGCCATGAGGAATCACGACGCTGCCACAAGTCGACACCCTGCCGTCGAACCTGCCCAGCTCCACCTTGTAGTCTGGCCCTCCGCTCTGCGGCGGCCGTACGTACGTGTTCACGCCGAGACGAGAGACAGTCCGATCAACTCGAGAACGAAAGCGATCGAGGAGCAGAGCAGAGCAGCATGCATGCTTCGTTGGTGTTCGCGTGCTTACCAGGAACACGGAGTCCCTGGCGGCAAGGGCCAGGATGTCGGCGCAGGACACCCTGTTCCGGCACTGCGGGTCGCTGTCCACCGCCGCCTTGGCGTTCATCACCGTGCTGAACCCCTCCAGCTTCAGCGTCATGCCGTCGGGGCTCCGCCACTCGTCGTCGCCGGCAGCGTTGATCAGCATCACCGACGCGTCGCAGCCCTTAGTTCACAGATCACAAGAGTGGCGGCATGGCATCAATCCTCTGATCGGCGTCAGTAATAATATAATCGCACATACCCTGACGGCGCAGTCGTGGAAGAAGAGCCGGAGCGTGGCCGGCGCGGAGAGCGGAGAGAGCGCCACGGACTGCTCTACGGCGCCGCGGACAATGCTCTCGAGGTTCGGGCAGACGCCGGCGTAGTAGTCCGGCCTCAGCTGGGGCTGGGCCGCCGCCTCCGCCATCGGCGCGAGTGCGAGGAGGAAGACGGCGGCCAGGAACTGGAGGCGCCTCATGGTACTGCCGCTAGGCTCGCTCTTAAGGCTGCTGTTTGTTTACTAATCTCTCTTAAATTAGCTAATGCCGTTAAACTGCATGAGCTCGAGGTGGTTTGCAAGCGATGATAGCGTGGGTTTATATAGAAGACAAGAGGTGGCGTGTGGCATCCCCGCGCTATTACCCATTCACCTATTAATTAACCTCTTGTATAACAGGTGTACACTATTGGTCAATGTGAGACTGATGTTGATATCCATGGTTGATCACAGCTCATGACCTCGGTGTGAGACGATAAAACTCTGGGTTCTTGATTCTCTCCTCTATTATACTTGCGCATATTTGCTTAGTTTATTACATTCAAAAAGAGAAGCTGAGGCCTAACGACTTTGAAAGTCTGAATGTCCTTTCAGAGCAAAAAGAAGTGTCTGAAAGTCTGAATGTCCTTTCAGAGCAAAAAGAAGTGTCTGAATGTCTGATGATCTTCAATGTGATTCTTCCGAGTTTTGCAGTATGCAGGCAGCTCGAGGCAAGGACTATCAACTATGCTGCCAGATTTGTAAGTCAGAAGATGAATCGGTTCGTTTGCACCGATGGATTTCTCTGATCCATTTAAATTCTGCTATAATTTTCTGAAAACTTGAGAGGCTAGCAGCATGATACTAGTAGCATTGAAGAGAACCGCAGGACCTCATAAAAAAATCAGCTCTTCAAGTAGCCTCCATGAGTTGTTTAACATAACTAACACATATCATCATCACCATGCATGTGCCAACGTGATGCCGAACAGGACATCAGACATGGTCAGCAACCAATCACCACCCAACACGTACAAGTTTTGCTGATGTCAACCCTGTCTAAAAAAACGATTCTATTACGATTCATATAACCCTAACCCTCGTTGGTTTCAAGTACTTCCGCTGCCCTTTCCCCTCCCCGCCGCCGCCTATCCAGCCAGATTGTCTCCACAATCCTCATCTTCTCCGCCGTCGGCCTTCGATCGATACCGACGACTCGTCCTGAATTTTTCCCCATCAATCAAACGACTTCTCTATGCCCACCAATACCTCCGCCGCTTCCTCCAGCCGTCGGCGACGCCGTCGCAAATCTCTCCCACCCTGGATCCTTCTCAACAACGAAGGCTACATCGGCAGCCGCCGCCACAACTGCCGTCGGAGGGGAGTGACAACCTGATGTTTGAAGCGTCCATCTGGCCGGCGCAGCCGCCGCTCCCCTCCAACCGCTTCGTGTATTGCCCCAGCTTGAAATTCCCCAGTCCCACCCTAATCCTCTCCACATCCCAAGATCTACTGCTCTTCCGTGTCCCGGTCGCCGTCGGTTCTGCATCAAGCTCCGTCGCCTTCAATGACTGCGACTACTTCGTCTGCCGGTACGGTGGCGTCACCAGGCCCCCGTCGCTCACGCTGACCCCAGATCCGAACCCCAACATCTTCCACGTTGCTCTCGGACTCCTTCCCCGCGGTGGGGATCTGTACACCGTCGCGGCGCTGCACGCCAGGCCTCCCAGCAACGAGCAAGGTTTACAATTTCGACGAAATATCTCCAAAATTTTCGAAATATCGCCTTTTTCGCTGAGGCCCGAAATTTTTTTACATTGGTAAAAAATTTTCGGTTAAATTCATCTTCTGCTCTAAAATTACACCAAACAACGCTAAAACGACTCTCCATATCCTCTAATTTTATCAAAGCCCTAAATTTATTCAAATTTATTTAATTTTCTCACTCACACGTTCGATGGCACTAGCATATGTAGCTCGCCCACCATCACCACATTGTATTACTGCGGTGCTATATTGTGTTATTTCGTCGATGTTATATAAATTTGTGATGGATGATGGATTAGACATTTTTTCTAGTGAAATGACGCCAATTTTTTTTAAAAACAATTTGAATTTATTTAAATTTGATCCGATATTTCTGAAATTTCATATTTATCGCTCGGGGACCGAATTTTTTTTCGTACCGGTAAAAAAACCTTGGCAACGAGTACGAGCTCCATCGTTTTGACTCCGAGGCCAGGAGATGGACCTCCGCCTGGGCATTCGGTTCTCGGTTCGGTTCCTCGATTTTTGAAGAAATTTGGTTCTTTGAAAATGGGAACCGATCGGTTCTAAAAAAATTCTCGGAACCGATCATTTCGGTTTTCGGTTATTTCGGCTCGATTCCGATTCTAACCAAACTTTGCAGGAGAGGCTAAGACAACCGTGGGGCGGGCCGCTGCAACCGTGGGGCGGGCACCAAGCTAGGCTGCCCACGCGCTCACCGTAGCATCACTGTCGCCACCAACAAGAGAGGCAAGACCTTCCTCAAGTTTGCTGACCTGCAAACCATTGGCGGCCGTCTTCCTTACAATGACATCGAGACCCAGCTGCCTGCATTTGAAGTCGATGACTGGATCGTCACCACTTGGAGCAACATGGAGATGGCTGGCTTGTTCAAGGACTGGCATCAGGAATTTACAGTCCGTGGTTCCGAGATCAAGATCAGTGACGCCATGCGTGCAGAGCTGCTGAGCTCTGGATTGCTGCACCGTAATCCGACGCGGGATGATGGCGAGGAGCCTGCCACGGTAGAGCTCGCCTTGCAGAACCTCTCGGTGTCTGAGCCCACACCGAGCCAGAATGGTGATGAAGATGTCCTGTACCTGATGGCAAGGACCATGCTCTTCCTACCCAAGGCGTGGGCTCTCTCTATTGACATGAGGAACAACACACTGCTAGGTGTGGCTGAGTTTGGCACTGAAAGTGGACGGGATGTATGTGTCACCTATCGCCCTAGCATTATCTCCAAGTACATGAAGTCAGTGTCCGCTCCAGGTAATTGGTATACTGTAGCAGCCTGATTTTGTTGCTTCAATCACCCACTTCCAAGCATGCATATGTTATGTGAATGATCTTTGATTTCAGTTCATATTGTTAAGAAACTGTTATTTCTATTTCATTACAGTTGTATTAGCTACATACACTCTGGTGTGGTCCTATTTTTCAAGAAATGAGATGATACTAAGCTTTGTTAGTGATCAAATCAAACACTTTGTTTTTTCTTGGTTAGTATAGCAATCTCATATTAGTTGGTTGTACAATTTGGATCAGGGGGTTCGTGCTTTATGTATCATGCAATTTGTTGTCTTTACAGTTCACCTGTTGTTTTGAAATATGTGAAACCCCTCTTCCAATCCCCACGGTACCAGTGGCACATTTCTGCAGAGTTTTCCTAGGTATATCCCTACAATTACTCGGTAACTAATTCCATAGTTATAAAGGGAGAATCCAGAGCATGATGCTGAGGGCATTTGCTTATCTTCCCTGACTTATGTGACTCTTTGTATGTGACTTTTCACCCATATCCCGCTCGATTTTGCCATTATTGGCCCACTGCTTCCCTGTTGATTCTGCTGTCTTCTGGTCACTTTTGCAACTCACCTGATCAGTGCTCCAAACATCGCATACGGACTGAAAGGGCTGCCTTGTGTACCAATGACCCTTTCTTTCTTTTTTTTTTGGGGGGGGGGGGGGTGGGAGGGGGTGTATTGGGCTGAGATGGTTGATTAAGCTAATGAAAGGCTTGGTCTTTCTATGATTAATTCCGTACTTAATAGAGCCAGATATCTCTCTCTTTTATTTACGGTGTCCTTGTACAGTGGTATGACAATGAAATCGTAGTGTGTTGACAAATGTGGGTAGTCCAACTTCTCATTCATGAGACTCGGAACCTATAGATATGTTAGTGCCTTCTTGTATATTCTGTTAACAGGCAATTATGCTATCTCTCATTCTATGCAGTGACAAAGGAAACTTGAAGGTTGCTGGTGATTTGCTGCATCAACATGGTGAAATAAGAGGCATGAAGATTAAGCTTAATGATGTTTTAAGAATCTATAGATATTTACAGTCTTGCAATCTGAACACCTCCTGTACCGGTGGTTATTAGCTCGAACTTGTACCTTGTATGGTAACATATTTTATATTGGCTTGTATTATGGTACTTATTTTATTAGAGCGAGATGGTTTTAACCTGCTATCTCCGTACCAAAAAAAAAGCCATTAGGAATTTTAGGATTAGGATAGATTAATAAAAAGGTAAAATGATCATGCTTGCCTTTGTTTATTAGTCAAAATTAGTGTTGATTGACTGTTGCATGTCTTCATGCACACATGCACATACCAAACGGGATACAACGACTTGTTTTCTGGGACAAATTTTGAATACTAAAATGATTTCTTTTGGAACGGAGGGAGTATCAATCTGTGGTTGCCTGTGCAATTGTAGATTAGAAATGTGTAGAATTTCCTCCCCTGATGGAGTTGTATTTGTTTGGTAGTCTCAATTCCGTCGTGCAGAGGATGGACATTGCTTGTATTTGTTTGATAGTCTCATGCGGAGTACATTGCCTACAGCGACATACTAATTTCTGAACCATTTCATGTTAGAACTTGTCTATGAATATGATCATGCATCTTTTGCAGTTTTCCGATTTCTGAGCATTCTACTTTACTACATGTAAATTGTTAATTCTATAGTATAGCAATTATGTGATGGATAAATTTGTTGTGAAACAAAGTGCCTCTTTGAATAGACACATCTTCAAGATGCCTCTCTAAATAGACACCTCTTCATGTGTGATCTCATCAAGACTAGAGTAGGCATGTCCTTTAGCATAGCCACCAAAGGGGCATGTCCTTTAGCATAGAGAGTGTGAATGGTTGCCTTATCCTTTGGGACAAAACACCCTTTCACCACATCACTTCACCATGTATATATTTTCATGATCAGATCAATGCAAGATATAAGTTCTTCCTTTCTATTATTCCATTTACATTTCATACTTCACGTTATCAGCACTGCATCGCTCTATCTGCACTCACTCGAAAGGGAGAGGTAGAGGCCATTCCATAGAAGAAGATAAAGTCCGTAAGACGATGGAAGGATTATTATTTGAGTACCGATAGGGAGTATGATAATAGTACGATCAAAGTCAGCTATCATGACATCGCGTTCAACGATTATCAAAATATTTCTGTGTCTCTATGTAAGAGTTTAGGAATATTTTGTTTCCCTAAGAACCACATCATTGTCGGTTTGTGGCTTGCACCAGCAGTGAGTTGGCGGCCACTTATCACTGCCGGTTCTAACTAAGAGCCGACAATGATTTGGTGCTATCACTGTCGGTTCGAGCCAAGAACCGACGGAGATAAAATAGCAGTACAAAAAGCTGGCACCATCCTCTTCTTCCTCCTCTCTTCCATCCCGAGCACAGAGGCGCGCATTTGGGCCGCTCCCTCCATTGTTGTGGTTGCTCTTCACCGTGAAGCTATGTAACAACCCAGGTTTTCCAATAACCCAAAAATCTGAACTTAAATTTTTTTTCTAACAAAACCCATGCATGGTGAGTGTGCATACTAGAAAACCACCCATGTAGTTGCACAAGTAGAAACCAAGCTAGCATGGTTGAGCATTTTGCATTTAATTCAACTTGTGAGTTGCTTCTTCATGATTTTATGTGATGTAATAAAATCAAATCAACCTTTAGAAATAACTTGTTGTGTGAGTTTCCAACCCTTGGCTTGGACCCTAGGACCCTAGATGATCCCTAGAGGACCCCACTAGGATGTATATATGCTGGCAACACATGTATACATGCATAGGAGCCCTAGGTGTAGTGTGGAAATAGAAATAGAAATAAAAAAGGAATTGGAAAAGGGAGGGAAATAGAAAGAGCAAAGCAACCCAGCCGCAGCAGGCAGCCCACGTCGCCCTCACGGCCCATCACCCGCGCCCGCTCCCATGTGTGCGCCGCCAGCCGGCCTAGCTCCGCCTGCGCCCGCGCTCGTGCTCACGCAGCCGAGCCAGCCCATCAACGGCCCACGTCCACTCCCACCCGCGTTGCGATGCACCCCGCCGTCGCCCTCTCTCTACCACTAACCGATGGACCTCGCCTGTCATCCCCTTCCTCCCCTCCCTTCTCTACTTTCCGCCGCGCTCAAAACCGGCGTGAAGCCAAGAATGGCAAAGGCCATCACGGCAGTTCCTGTCCATTACCGCCTCGCGCACGCCCTGGATGCCCGCCACGTCGGTGATCCGCGCCACCACCTGCCCTAGCTGGTGCCCGCCTACCTGCTGACGCGGTCGCCATGGCCCGTGCCCTACCGCACCCCTCTACCACCACCGTACCCGCCTTGACCGGCGCCAATAAAAAATGGGAGCGCCAAGGCAGCCACGCTCACCCCCGCTCCCTAAAACCCTAAGCCAGAGCCCTTGATCGCCCTCCATGTACCCCCTTCCCCTCCATCTACCATCCATCGGTCGCCATGGCCGTGAGCTCCCTATAAAAGGGCACACCCGGTGCCCTAGCGCCTTCCCTTCACCCCGCCGCCACTCTGTGGCCTTGCCCATTCCATACCAGGCCAAGGAGGAGAAGGGAGAAGGAAGGAGAAGGAAGGAGAAGGAGGAAGAAGGAGCCCCGGTGCAACCCATAGCCGCCAGAGCAGAAGATGACGCAACTCGTCTTCATCAGCGTCGAGGTTCTACCAGCACTGCTTCACCTTGTCACGGCCTCAACTCGCCCCTGCACCGCTAGCCTACCACCCTAAGCCCCACGGTGAGCCGCTGCTTCCCCTGCTCGCCGTATACCTCACCGTCGTGGACACGCCATGCCTTGCCACCACGTTCTCCCCATTGGGAGGGCCAAAGGCTAGCATTTTTGCTGTTGGGATGATCTGCACACACGCACACATGCACATGAGCCAAGGCCCAGCCTTGCCGAGCCACTGGCGCTCGAAAACACTGGCTCCAACGCAGCGCACCCGCTGCGATCACCATGGCCGGCATCCACCATGTCACCGCCCCGTTCCAGCCACCTCGCGCCGGTAGAGTCAAGAAAGGTGCCTCGGCAAGCTTTGCCTCACCAAGGGACACGTCATGCACTAGATGGGAGGAGAAGAGGAGCACTCAGGGCCGCTGGTCATGTCTTCCTCGCCGGACCGCCGCACGCCCATGCCACCGCCACGCCGGAGACGTTCCGTCCACGCCAGGCTGGTAGCAGTTCCTAAACCACCGTGGGTGGATTCGCCTTGAAGTGTAGCTACTAAAGCGCCCATCTTTTGTCCATAGAGGGCCTAGATGCCGTAGCCCATGATTGCCTCATCGACGCGGCCGCAAGTCGGAGCGTCGCCGTCTCAAGGACGTTCACGACGATCCCGGCTACCTCGCGTCGTGAGGAGGGGCCGTTGATGTTCGTCGTGACCTCGCACACCTCGCCATGTAGCTGGATGAATGGAAAGCCCCCGCCCTTCCTTGTTTCACCGTAGCCACAAGCTCGCTGTAACACCCTCGGTGTTACATTGCATTGTTTTGCTAAACACTTCATGAGCATCATGGTTATGAGTTGTAAAGTAATGTTTGGTCCTTGAAACTTTTATATGAAACATGAAGCAATGTTACGTTTCGTGTCACTTAATCGAATTTCTGCCGAACTGAGATGTTATAGAACGTCTTTGCGAACGGCGATGGAATATGTGCGGCCGAGGGCAAGGATAGTTAGCTAATGCGTTTAGTAGGTCAAAATGGGGATTCAACGTGAAATCATTCAGGGTGATGTCGTTTCGCGTAGGTTTACAAATGGGTCGACGAAGCCACCTTTGGCGATAGTTGGGGAGCGATCGGCTTAGGATGTGGTACGATATCTTGGCTCCGTTAGATAGCCCAACATACCCTCTGATGCATAGAATAGTTGGTTCGGCTTTTGAAGCATCGTGTACATGTTTTTAGGCTGCTTTAAAATGCGTGCATGACACAGGGCATCGCCCTAGGCGTGGTCACCATCGCTGCTGGTCTGCCAGCGTGCGCTGCCGCGTGGACCGCACGCACTACCGTGGACCGCACGCACTACCGCCCACCACTGCGCCTGTGCACGCGCGGCCTTTGCGCTGCGTGCCAAGGTCGCCTGCACCACTGCTGCTCGCCTACCACCGTCGCTGCTCACCTGCCGCCGCTGCTAATTCGTCCAGGCGCGCGCCGATACGCTGGCCGCATCCGCACCCCCACCGTGCGGGCACTCGCGCGCAGGGTCTTGGCGCATATGCCTGGTTCGTCTGCTGCCACTCGTGGGCGCACGGACCATAGCGCCCCGGTTGAAGCGCTGCGTCCGAGCCGCTGACCAAGCTCTGCCGAGCCTTGTCCTGCCTCGTTTTGGCCGTAGGCGCGTCGAGTCCCACGTTCACATCGCCAGCGGCCACGCAACGTACGGATCGCTGACTTCCCTGGGCTGCTCGCTCAGAGGATGTCCGCCTGCTCCACCATCCCCTCCGCGTCGCATCGCTCTGCGTCATTTGTCTGGCACTGCCCGCCACGATGGCGCCATACCGTGCTCGTCGCTTTGCTGCAGTAGCCGTGCAGACAACAATCTGGGGCACGTCCCGCCTGTCCCGCTGTTCCCTGTAGGAATGTGTTGTCTTGTTGCATTGACGCCGTAGCCGGATCGAGCCAAGCCGCGCCAGGACCTCCCCTGCCCTGCTATCTCCATGGCCGCCGAGACGACTCTTCCCAATTCGCCATGACCATAGCATTAGACTCCAATTCGGCTTACGCTCGGCTTCGCTAGGTATCTGGCCACGCCCCGTCCCTACCTTGCTGTGTATGCCGTTGCACATGGCCGCAATTTCGAAATACCGCGCCACCGGGTCCATAAGATCGCACGGACGCTCCCTGACGGCAAGCCAGCCACTCCGAGCACCTCGTAGCAATTCAGTGCACCCTCAGCTTAGCCGTACCCTCCTGAGCACCCCGCGCACCTCAGCCGTA